TAAAAGGGACGCGGTTTCTCTGCAGCTCGTTTAGGCATGCTCGTGGAGATTGAAGGAAGAAATCAGACAACACTGCTCACAATTGGATCCACTTGATCTTTAAACTCTCAGTCTTTGCTTCTTCTTTCATATCTTCACTACCATAAGCTTTAATGTTCAGAACTTGTTTATTACTTCTTTGATTCAATTTTAACAAGAACCCTGATTGGTTACTACATCGACCTTTCAATCAAAGACGCGACCTTATACTCACAAAAACCGAAATAAAAACATCTTCACAACAGAACTGATACAGAGTTTAAACATTAGGGACAATAGGAAAGATAAAGTGGTTTGGTACTGAGATCTGAATCCTGTTCAACAAATAAACGTGAAGAAAGTTGTGAAATTTCATCTTCCATCACCAGATATGATTGTGTGAGAAATGAACATTGAGTTGTTGGGAGAGGGAGGATAGACTAATGGTACCGATGCTGATGAGGTCACTGAACTTGAAGTGATTGCCAAGCCAGGTATTCCCATTACCATCGGAGTGGAAACTCCGATTCCGGGAGTATCTGGAGAAAAATCCGGCAACGTTTGGTGACTGTTTATGTAATGCACCACTTGTTCCATGCTAGGTCTTGATTTTGGTTCAATGCTTGTACAGAGCAAACCGAGTTTCAAGACCATTTCGACTTCCCCGAGTGTAAATTTATCTCTCAATCTTGTATCTATAGCGTCAATTAGAGAACCTTTCCTCCAGCATTCACAAACCCACTTGACCAAATGTCGTTTCTCAACTGGCATCTCAGGATCAAATGGTCTCCTCCCACATGTTACTTCAAGCATGAATGCACCAAATGCATACACATCGGTTTTTGTGGAAGTTCCTGTTGATATTAACTCGAGAGCCATGTAACCTATGGTTCCTACGGCTGCTGTTGCAGAGAGGTTAGCTCCAAGATCATCAAACCTAGCCATTCCAAAATCTCCTAAAAAAGCTTGAAAATTTTCGTTTAACATGACATTAGAAGCTTTGATATCTCGGTGTAAAACAACTTGACTGGCTCCTGTATGCAGGTAACAGAGTGCAGATGCGATATCTCTCAATATCGCGAGTCTTTGAGACCACGAAAGAGGCGGTTTATCACCATAAAACAAGTATTGATCAACGCTACCCCCTTCCATGTACTTAGATACCAGCAATAACTCGCCTTTTCTCCTGCAATACCCGAGAAGAGGTACTAAATTCTTGTGCTGTAAGCTCCCCATTGTCACAACTTCAGCCACAAACTGTTTCATGCCTTGCTCTGCATCGTGTGATAGTCTCTTCACCGCTATATCTCCTACAAGAGGCAGAATTCCTTTATACACTTCTCCAAAACCGCCTTTTCCAAGACGGCCATCTTTGTTAAACCCTTTTGTTGCTTTGTACAAAGATTCATAGGAATAACGAAGCGGACCATATTCCTTTTCCCATGGCTCTTTAACTTCAGCATACTTCTTCCTTCTGTACAGATAATATCCTCCTAGAACCGCCATTACTATGAGTGCGAGTATAACGAAAAGAACAATAAGCAGAGTAGATCTTATTTCCTTCGTTTCCGTGAAAAGAGGAACCATGGAAAGTTTAGAGATGTCAAGGCTCTTTAATAACACTCTGCTTCTGCTGAAACTCCACCCTAAGATGTATTGGTTACTTATCAGTGATCCAGTTGCCGCAGAAAACCCGAGAAATGCTCTTCGATCCGGGAAGATTGCAGTGAGATTAGTCGTTCTTGACAAAAGAGGCTTACTTGGCTTCTGATCTCTTAGAGGTGCTAAAGTAACATTGAGTAGAGTATCTTCATAATCAATCCATACCTGAATAGGATCTCCACTCAAGAGTGTTAAATTTTTGTTCTTCCCTTCTCTGTCGGAATAATAGGAAGCTGAAGCAGAAACGACGGATTGGAGGCTGTTTACATCTATACCGACATGGTTATTATCGATGTCATCGAACTCTGCGCTTTGGACAGTATCAAGCTCGATAGCTAAAACGTGAGAAGAAGGAGATCCATTAGTTGAGATGTTGAAGAGTCCTAAGTACTGAGTTGGATCTGCTTTTTTGAGATCATTAGAAGATGATAGCACAAAAGCAATCCCGTGACCACCATCAACTCCTGGCTTAGGGACAAGAGCGCAAACGAAATGAGTAAAGAAGGAGAGAGACTGAGATGAAGCTGAACCGAAATCGAATGGTCGGTTGAAGAAGGCGTGACCCTTTTGCTGAGTCGTGGCATCGGTTAGCTGCAAAAGTCTTTCGGGAGATTGGATTCTTGCAAAGCCGTCAAGGAGAAGTTCATCACCAGCTTGGTCTTGGTTAAAGCCATTGAAGACGAAACTTAAGTCTTGTTGACTTGAAAAGCAAATTAGATTAACTAAGAAGATCAAGAAGAGAAGAAGAAGATAAAATCTTTCAGCCATTGGTAATGAAAAAAGCAGAGACAACCCTCGTTTAGTTTTTTTTTTTTTTTTTTGTTTGGTCACAAGTTTGGGTCATAAAACCTAATCTTCTACGTTCCAAGTCAAGGAAAAATATTCCCTCAAGGCAAGAAAGAGTTGACTTGAGAATTTTTTAAATATATAACCTGATCATTACTCTCAAAATAATAGTTTTCTACGTTTAAAAATGTACTAAATTTCCTTTAGAAAAGTATATGGTCTACTCATCGTTTTAAGAATGTCAAGTCGGACTAAATTAAAGCGAAATACCCTCAAAGCGTTTACCAATTACAATTATAGGTTTAAGCCAACTATGTAAAGATAAAGATTCTGCATCTTTTTTCAATATCGTTTAGCTCACAGCTATACAATGCAACTTTGGAGACGAAGGTGTGTTGGCCCGTCTCAAAATTATAGTGGACCTTGTGCTCAAATCTAAAAAATTATCAAATCTTACATAGAAATTCAAAAATATGGACCCTTTCCTATTAATTTTTTAAAATTTAAGGCCCTTTTATCTAAAGAATTTTTGTTAAAAAAAAAAAGACCCAGTGCTTTGGCACCTTGAGCACATGCTCTAAGCCGAGTTCCGAGGCCCTGGGAAGAAAAGAAAGGATAACGTGCTTAAGAAGCATCCGGTACAAGCCCTACTTTGTCAAACCCATTTATTGCTCTACACACGAACCGGTTCACTTTAAATGATCGAAAACACGAAATGATTTGTACTTTTTTTCTTCACAAAAAATAAATGGATGATTGATACCAAGCACTCAAGCAACCCGACAACGAAAGCCAACATGTGAAGATTCAAAGATCGATCATACAATTTCCCAAACAAAGTGATTTCTTAGAAGTTAATATTTAACATCCTAGACTATTCGTATGGGCCAGTAACATTGGTGGTCCGAATTGTAACTATAAACTGTGGCTCTATGTATGATAGATCAAATAAAATGTGAAAAACAAAAGGAAAAGAAGACACAAAAAGAAAGAAAAAATGTTGATTGAAATTGAACGAGTAATTTTCAAAGTCCCAATAATACACGTCTCACCATTACAATAGAGAAACATTTCCTTAGTGGCCTCCAAAATTTCATTGTATTGTGTGACCCTAAATTGTTGCTTAATTGGCTTGTCCTATGGTCTCAGGTAGGCCTTGGCAAAATAACCGAACCACAAGAACCGAACCGGAACCGAAGCAAAAAGAACCGAACCGGAACCGAACCGAAATTTTAAAATACTCAATGGATCCTAAATTTTAGAACCGAAAGAACTGGAACCGGAACCGAACCGAACCGAACCGAAATATTTCGGGTACCCAAAAATACCCGAAATATGAGTTTATATCAGAAAATATTAGTTATTTTTATATCGAATAACCAAAAATACCCGAAATACCAACAAATATTTAGAAAATATATCAAAAAATGCTTAAAATATCCAAAAAATACTCAAAAATATCCGAAAATACCCAAAAAAATCCAAAATACCTAAAAATATCTGAAAAAAAAATCCAAATGAATCCTAAACTTCAGAACCGAAAGAACCGGAACCGGAACCGAACCGAAATTGTTTGGTTCCTATATGGATCCTAAATTCTAGAACCGAAAGAACCGGAACCGAATAGAAACCGGATCAGAACCGAACGGGTACCCGAACGCCCAGGCCTACTCTCATGTATACCCTTAAGTATTGATCAAAGGTCTTTAGATCTTGTTGTAGGACCGGCTCCAAAATAGCAAAAAAAAAAAAACTATGGTCTTTGTTCAAATTTGAAATATGGACCCTATTTTTTTTTTTGGGCCATTAAATACACTAATTTTTATGTTAGTTTGAACAAACATAAAAATGCACCCCTGCATTGTACATGTCTACTTTATAAGGAGGACCGGTCCTAAGCTTTTAGAGACCTAAAACATTTAAAAAACCTGGCCTTAATATATATATATTTGTGTAAAAAAATTTATATTTTTTATATATTTCTTACATTTTTTTTTGTTATTAATGTAAAAAAACACAAAAGTAAAGAGATTAATTATTTGTTTATTATAGTAACTACTAGTTTAATTATTATGTTTCTTATAGTGCCTACCAAAAAAATTATGTTTCTTATAGTAACTACTCTTAACTTTTTTTGGGACTTTGAGTCTACAAAAAGTGGTGTTAAAAAAAGCAAAAAAAAAAACGAAAAGTAATTGGAATATAAATTTGATTACAAAAGGCCGTATACATAAAAACAACTAAACAAGTATACCAAATTCATAAACACGAATTAAAAATAAAAAAGAGTTAATTATAGTAAACTTTTACAATCTCTGAAGCTTCTTCTTCAACACCGTTTGTTCTTCCTCGTTCTCCGCCGCATTGTCTCTCTCCATGAGCGATCAAATTCTTCACAGAGAAGCTTCTTCTTCTTCGACATTCCTCTTAGCACCAATCTCTCTTTCGCATCTCAATTCGAAACGTGAGTTTTCATTTTCTCCATTCTCGAATCGAGCAAAACTCTCGCAACAACAACACTTAACCTAGAATTGATGATTCGGTTTATAATCGTACAATTTTCGAGCTGATTCTGTGATGTAGAAGCCCTAATTTCTGGGTTTGTATGTTGATTGATTCTCTTTTGTGATTGATTATGGCAATGGTGGAGAAGAATGGTTCTGCAATTGGTTATGTAGCTAGAAATCTATTACTATGCTTATTCGTCGTCACGACGATACTCTTTGCTCTGTCTTGTTACTTTGTGTTACGTTCCACTGCTCATAATCGCTTCCTTAGCTCCACATTTCCATCTAAATCATTCGTCGATGTGAAAGGCGTTAAGCGAGAGAAAGAGAATTGTAGATGTGTTAAGGACGAGAAATCGGTAACCGCAGGTCCGCTGAAGGTTTATATGTATAATATGGATCCCGAGTTTCATTTCGGTTTGTTAGATTGGAAACGTGATGGGAAGAATAGTGTATGGCCTGATATTCAGAAGTATATACCGCCTTATCCTGGAGGTTTGAATTTGCAGCATAGTATCGAGTATTGGTTGACGTTGGATTTACTTGCATCGGAGTATGAGAATGCGCCGAGAGCTGTTGCTGCGAAGCGTGTTTATAATTCTAGTGAAGCTGATGTTATCTTTGTGCCGTTTTTTTCTTCGTTGAGTTATAATCGGTTCTCGAAAGTGAATCCTCATCAGAAAACTAGTAGAAATAAGGATTTGCAAGGGAAGTTGGTTACATTTTTGACTGGTCAAGAGGAGTGGAAGAGATCGGGTGGTAGAGATCATGTGGTTCTTGCTCATCATCCGAATAGTATGTTGGATGCTAGAAATAAGCTGTTTCCTGCTATGTTTATACTTTCGGACTTTGGAAGGTATCCTCCTACTGTGGCTAATGTTGAGAAAGATGTAATCGCGCCGTATAAGCATGTTATCAAAGCATACGAAAACGATACATCTGGTTTTGATAGCAGACCAATTCTGCTTTACTTTCAGGGTGCCATCTACAGGAAAGATGTGAGTACTTCTGCTACCTTGCTTTAGTGCTTGTGTTTCGTTGTTTGTTCTTCAAAAATTCAGATTCAGACATTTGAATTTTGAGACATTATTTGTGCTCTACTTATATTACACTAAATATGGTTTGCTCCAATGTGTCATATATCTCAGGGCGGGTTTGTGCGTCAGGAGTTATTCTACCTCTTGCAAGATGAGAAAGACGTGCATTTCTCGTTTGGGAGTGTGAGAAACGGAGGCATAAACAAAGCAAGCCAAGGAATGCACAACTCCAAGTTCTGCCTCAACATTGCCGGAGACACTCCTTCATCAAACCGTCTCTTTGACGCCATTGCCAGTCATTGTGTTCCTGTCATTATCAGTGACGACATTGAGCTTCCTTTCGAGGACGTTATTGATTACTCTGAGTTCTCTGTGTTTGTTCGCACCTCTGATGCATTGAAAGAGAACTTTCTGGTTAACTTAATAAGAGGAATAACCAAAGAGGAATGGACAAGAATGTGGAATCGATTAAAGGAAGTGGAGAAATATTATGAGTTCCATTTCCCGTCAAAGGTAGATGATGCGGTCCAGATGATATGGCAGGCGATTGCACGTAAAGTTCCGGGTGTTAAAATGAGAATTCACAAGTCTCGAAGGTATTCTGGATCTGTTTCTGACACACAGAAAGAATCAAGCTGGTCGTCTTTGATACCTCGGAGTTTCTGGTGAATAGATTTTTTCTGTCTTCTTTTTCTCAGAGGACATCAAATTGTTCTTTTTTTTTTTTAGAGAGAAGTTTATTTTGGATCAGATGATTTGTCAACTGATTCCCCAAATCATAGGTTATAGACAGAGAGACAAGTCTTCACTCTAATTTGATTTCTGCTTAACTGCTTTTCACCATAGAAAAACTAATAATGTTGCAAGTTAAAAAATTGTTCATTTTGATCTGTTTTTTGAAGATCTGTTTTATTTGTCAATTGATACGTAAAGAAGTTTGAGTACAACATCAACAAACAACATAGTCAATACTTTTAAATTAAAACATTTACGTAGCCAAACAGATTCAGATGCAGAGAGTACATAGTTTCTTAGATCTCATCTTCCATGCCCGTCCAAGATTGTGTGAGTAACAAACATAGAAACTGATGAGTTCCTTATACTGGAGACCCCAATGGCAGATAATGCTTCCATTGAAACTGGCATAAAAGCCCCGATACCTGGAGTAGACGGCGAGAAATCCGGTAAGGGTAAGTCCCCGTTAAGGTATTGCACCACTTGTTCCATCGCAGGCCTTGATTCTGGCATAGCATTTGTGCAGAGTAACCCAAGTTTCAAAACCATCTCGACTTCCTCGGGTAAGAATTCTCCTCCCAATCTTGGATCTCTGGTCTTAAGTAAACAAGCCTCTTTCCAGCATTTGAAGACCCACATGACCAAATATTGCTTTCCGACTGGTAGCTCAGGTTCCACAGGTCGCCTTCCACAAATTACTTCAAGAAGGAAAGCACCAAAGGCATACACATCAGTTTTCATAGACGTTCCCATTGTTATTAGTTCAGGTGCCATGTAACCTATGGTTCCCACAGCGGCGGTTGCAGATAGGTTGGCTCCATGGTCGTGAAACTTGGCCATGCCAAAATCACCTAACCTCCCGTTGAACTCAGAATCTAACATGACGTTAGAAGCTTTTATATCCCGGTGCAAAACAACTTGCTTAGTTCCTGTATGCAGGTAACTAAGAGCCGATGCAATGTCCTTAAGAATAGAAATCCTTTGAAACCATGAAGGAGATGGGTTTTCGTCATGAAACAAGTACTGGTCAAGACTACCGTTGGGCATGTACTCAGAGACCAGAAGCAACTCACATTTTCTCCTGCAATACCCGAGAAGAGGAACCAAGTTCCGATGTTGTAAATTTCCCATGGTTACAACTTCTGCCACAAACTGTTTCATCCCTTGCTCTGCATCATGGGATAGTCTTTTCACAGCTATATGCCTGCCTCCGGGCAGAGTTCCTTTGTAGACTTCTCCAAACCCACCTTTACCAATACGACAATCTTTACGAAACCCATTTGTTGCTTTGTACAGAGACTTATAGGAGAATCGGTGTGGGCCATATTCCTTCTCCCACCATTCTTTTACTTCTGCATACTTCTTTCTTCTGTACCAATACATTCCTCCAAAAACCATCAGCACAGGAATCACTAATAAGATGACCAAACCAATAAGTAGTGGAGATAATTTCTTTTTTTCCTCTTTAGGAAGAGGAACCTGAGGGAGTTTAGAGAGGTCCAGGGTCTGTAATTGTTCTTTGCTTCTACTAAAACTCCACCCAAGTATATAATGGTTACTGAGAAGATTCCCTGTTGATGAAGAGAACCCAACATACATCTTCTCTTGAAAAATTTCTGAAAGATTGATGGTTCTTGATATAAGAGGCTGATTTGGCTTCTGAATTTCTCTAGGGGCCAGTGTAACATTTAGCAACGAGCCATCGTAATCCACCCAGACCTGGATAGCCTCACCACTCAGAAGATTTATGCTTATATTCTTCCCTAAGGCGTTGGAAAAGTAAGCCGGCAGAGCAGATTCAACAGATATTGGGCTGTTCACATCAATACCAACATGAGGCATCTCCAACTCATTAAACTCTACTGTCTTCACGGTGTCGAGCTCAATAGCTAGTAGATGTGAAGAGGAATTCCCATTAGTTAAGTTGCTGAAGACCCCCAAGTACTGAGTTGCGTATGCATGAGAGAGATCCAAGGAAGGAGATACAACAAAGACAATACCATGGCCACCATCAGCTCCCAACTTAGGAGGCACCAGCGCACACACAAAATGTGTATAGAACGAAAATGATGAAGATGGATCAAAATCAAATGGCTTCTTGAAGAAAGCATGACCCATTTGCAACTCTGTAGTATTTGTCAACTGCAAAAGCCCATCAGGTAGGATCTTGGCGATCCCATCGATAAAAAGATCTGCCTGATCAAAGCCGTTGTAGACAAACCCGGTTTCTTGTTGACTTGACAGGAAAATCAGATAAGCGCAAGAGAAGATCAAAGCCAGATGTAGTCTGCAAGCCATTGCTACAGAAGGAGAGAGACTGAATTCTAAGCAAATAATTTTTCTTTCTGGTAACAAGCAATCTCTCGAGCTAAAAAACAAAGTCTAGTAATAACTTAGAGGCCAAGAAGTCAAACTCAATTTTCAACGTTCCATATCCCTCCACTTTTCCTAGCAATTTGCTAAAGAATGTTGTCAGCCAATGCAATACTATATACCCAAATAGGCATCACCAAGTTGACTTCATGGTTATATAAGAAAATATGACCATGTCATACCATAATTTTTATATAATCTTATCCGTCATAATTCATGCTACTCCCAAAGTAATCTCAAATGCCTTGGAGTACAAGATGGTTATAGCATTCAGAAAGTCAAGAATTAGATGACACATACATATATTCAACTGAAACAATTCTAAGCAAACACACTTTTCTTGGTCAAACTTTGATGAATTCCAACTGAGTTAATGTAACGTTCCAAAGCAAAGTGAAATGTAAACTAAGTTTGAATCCAGAGGCAAAATCCCTATGATTAAGATACTACCAAGAATATGATTACAAAGACACAATCTTTAACAAAGTCAGCTCTTAAGAATTCCAATTTAACTTAAAACATGAAAGGGCAGATACAAGTCTCACATAGAACAAACCAGTCATACACTAAACTTCTAGTCCACTAAATAAACATCTCTTAAAATCTGTAGCTTTATTTAATCTTGAAACCGATTTCTACATTTCAGGTTTTGTTTTTTATGTAGCTCGAAGCTAGAAAATCAACCTGGATAATTCTTCTAGATCCCAATACAAGAACAAGACCATTAAAGTGTTGTTTATTAGGGTTTAAGGAAGAGAGATGGTAACAAATCAACTCATTACATGCATGTGAACTGGTGATGGTCTTGTCTCACATCTACCAACACAAGAAAAGCTTTTACATGTTATAAACTTTCTTGGCCTTACGGTCAAGAAAATTAATACCTTCTCACTTAAAAACTATGCAGAAGACAAGATCACTTTAAAACTCGATCAGAAACATAATTAATTAGATTTAGCTGCAGAGAATACCCAGTTTTTTAGATCTCATCTTCCATACCCTTCCAAGATTGAGTGAGTAACATGCATTGATGAATCTGGGATACCAATGGTAGATGATGATTCCATTGAAACTGGCATAAAACCTCCAATACCTGGAGAATCCGGTGAGAAATCTGGCAATGGTAGGTCCAGGCTTAGGTACTGCACCACTTGTCCCATGGCAGGCCTTGATTCTGGCACAGCATTTGTGCAAAGCAACCCAAGTTTCAGAACCATCTCGACTTCCTCTGGTAAGAATTCTCCTCTCAATCTCGGATCTCTGGACCCGAGTAAAGAAGCCTGTTGCCAGCATTCACAAACCCACTTGACCAGATATTGCCTTTCCACCGGCAACTCAGGTTCTACAGGTCGCCTTCCACAAGTTACTTCAAGAAGGAAAGCACCAAAGGCATACACATCAGTTTTTGTAGAAGTTCCCCTTGTTATTAGCTCAGGTGCCATGTAACCTATGGTACCCACCGCGGCTGTTGCAGATAAGTTGGCTCTAGGGTCATGAAATTTGGCCATACCAAAATCTCCTAACCTTCCATTATACTCAGAATCTAACATGACATTAGAAGCTTTTATATCCCGGTGCAAAACAGCTGGATTGACTCCTGTATGCAGGTAATTGACAGCCGAAGCAATGCCCTTAACAATAGAAATTCTTTGCAACCATGAAGGAGATGGGTTTTGGGTATAAAACAAGTACTGGTCGAGACTACCATTGGGCATGTACTCAGAGACCAGTAGTAACTCACCTTTTCTCCGGCAATACCCGAGAAGAGGAACCAAATTTCCATGCTGTAAACTTCCCATAGTTACAACTTCTGCCACAAACTGTTTCATTCCTTGCTCTGCATCGTGGGACAGTCTTTTCACAGCTATATGCTTGCTTGAAGGCAGAGTTCCTTTGTAAACTTTTCCAAACCCACCTTTCCCAACAAGAGCATCTTTGACAAACCCATTTGTTGCTTTGTACAGAGACTTATAGGAATATCGGTGTGGGCCGTATTCCTTTTCCCATGGTTCTCTTACTTCTGCATACTTGGTTCTCCTGTACCAATAAACTCCTCCGAGAATCATCAGCACAGGGATCACCAATAAGATGATCAATAAGATAACCAGTGGTTGTAATTTGTTTTTTTCCTCTCTAGGAAGGGGGGCCTGTTCATCTCTAGGAATAGGAGCCTGGGGGAGTTTAGAGAGGTCCAGAGACTGCATAAGTTCTTTGCTTTTACTAAAACTCCACCCAAGTATATACTGGTTACTGGTCAATCTCCCTGTTGATCCAGAGAACCCAACATACATCTTATCTTGAAAAATTTCTGACAGATTAATGGCTCTTGATATAAGAGGCCGATTTGGTTTCTGGATTTCTTTAGGGGCCAGTGTAACATTCAGCAACGATCCATCATAATCCACCCAGACCTGAACAGGCTCACCACTCAGAAGATTTATGCTTATATTCTTCCCCAAGGCATTGGTATAGTAAGACGGGAGAGCAGACTCAACAGATATCGGGTTGTTCACATCAATCCCAACATGAGCCTTTTCTGGATCATGAAAATCTACTGTCTGAACACTATCAAGCTCAATAGCTAGCAGATGAGAAGAGGAAGTCACATTTGTTGAGCTGTTGAAGACACCCAAATATTGAGTTGGAAACGCATGAGAGAAATTCATGGAAGGAGATACAACGAAGGCCATACCGTGGCCTACCTCAGCTCCGAATTTAGGAGGCACCAGCGCGCACACAAAATGTGTATAGAATGAGAGTGATGAAGATGGATCAAAACCA